AATTACGCTACGATTCTAGAAGTTTTTAGCTTTCGGGTTTCTTTGACAATTTTTGTGGCTACTGCCTCCTACAGAAGGCGAAGCCACATATGACGTCGAGATGACATATGATTTGAATAAAAAATTTTCCTTTCAGAAATCTTAATAGATGTAATCTGCACATCATGGAAGCTTTGAGGAAATTAAAAAAAAAAAAAGCTTTATTGTACCATTTTAATCAACGACTAATCACAGAAAAAGTCGCTAAATTTGTGAAGCAAGCAAACTGCGAAATACGATACCTTGAGTTATTCAACAGAATGATAGAACGGGGAACGGTGGATCGGCGGCATGGTGGAACATCATAAGACGCGGAATGACAGAATATTAGAAAACGTCGAATTCTTTTTTGTTTGAGACAAAACTCTTAAAAATGGAATTGCAATTAAAGGATAAATCATCGGTATTCATAATTAACAGGCGAAATTAAATGAAGTATATTAATCATTGTTGGAGCCCAGAGGATGGGGGAACTATTAGGCTTTCCAGCTAGCCCCTTAAAATTATTATTATATGACTATTGTTATCATTATCATTATTGTTAATATTATTATTTGTTATCATTTCATTATTGGTTAAATGTCAATTAGACAATATATTCTTGAATCGTATTTCTCTTGTGGAACAGGGTACTCATAAATATGTGGGATGCAGCAGGTTTTCTACATTCGTGTTGATCCTCCTCGAACTTGGTTGTTGTTAAGTACGGGTGATGAAATTTTGTTTAATTCTTCTATGCCGTTTGGAGTATATCAATGTTCGACGCTGTGTAATTTACGTGTATGTGTCGAGCATATTATCTTGATGTTAAGGCTTACGTAAAATTGTGCTACAGGTCAGTTAGAATTGTTGCACTTAATAAGTTCCGGCTGTCCTTGGGATAGCCTTTTAAACCCAAAAGCTTGTAAAAATTACTTCTTACAGTTAGGTTGCAACAGCTTTAACCTCATGGCGCAACGATATGCTTCAAATGATAGATTGAAGCAAACTACCATCAATAATATTTGTTTACAAATTTTGCATGATCAAATGGTATTAAAGAAAAAAAAAACAATGCTTTCTTGAAAACTAAAGTTATGTCCACCGTTACAGGAGCCGGGATTCCGATCTTTACTTGTTAAAATGGCTCGCCACCAGACCTTCCTCGTAAATATGGTTATTGCATTCTCTTTTATTTTTCCCGAGCGTGGCTTGCCAGCAGTGTGGAGTCGACACATACTCCATCTATCAAACGATGCTTAAAGGCTACACCTTTATGACGTTCAAGGTTGAGTCCGGCTCGTTAGATTGCAGGCAGGCATGTCGCAATGACTTCAGATGTCAAAGCTATAACGTGGTCATATCCGAACGCGTATGCGAGCTTAATAACAGAATTAAGGAGGCCAAACCAGAAGACTTTGTCAAGAACATGGACATATACTACATGAAAAAAGCTCAAAGTAGAGGTAAAACTTATGATAACGCGGTTTAAAATTGCAGCTCATTATTTTACTTAGGCTGAAGTTTACATCATTGACTTAGAAATTGTAGGTGCCGTTGCGGGACACACTAGGAATTTCCGAATATGGCCGACTACTTTCTAGGAGATGATTCATTTTCAACTCTGATGAGGACTTCAGCTAAGTTTGTGGAAACATCGTTCATAATATATTTTCAGTACTATTCTCAACGAAACGATCCAACTTCACGATCGTATTTCACTCCCTGGGAAACCCATTTCGTATCAATGTTTGTTACAATTTTCTCGAAATCAAGCAGTGCTTCATATCTATTTGACCTTTCGTTTAAAATAAGAGAAGAAAATCTTTACTTCCCAGATTATTCCCAATAAATTTATCTCCTTTTTATCCATGGCCAGTTCCTTTCGGGTCTATTCCTGAGCTTTCCGCTGATTCGTGTGGAGAGATGAAAGCGAGTGAAGGAAGAAAAACCAGTGAAGATAAGAAACACTGGATCGACCCCGGGAAGAAGGGAAAACCATTAAAAGTCTATTGTGACATGACAACTAACGGAGGTAAATCAGTAATGGAGAAAAAGATTTTAAATGCTCACACCAGTTACTCTTTACAAGAGATTATAAATAGTCGATCATTGCTTGCTCATTAAAAACCTACTCTGTCAATTTTTAGGGCTTGTTATCACTAAAATGCTTGATTATATTCACTATGCTTATTAAAAGAAATCTCCACTCTTTCTACAATCAGCGATCAAAATGTTCCAAATGTACTTCTTAAAATTTCTGGCATAAAAAAATCTCCTTATCAAGCGATCTGAGTTTTTTAATCGTTTTCCGAAAAAGGATCTTACAGCCACTTCGAATTACCAGCGGCCACCATCGTGAATGGCGTGCAATGCACGCTGGGAAGATGACGTATGGAGGTTGCTCGATGCACTCGCGGTGTAGTGTTTCACTCTTGTTGATGCCTTATTGCTGTCTTCTGAAAAAAGATTTTAGTGAATATGTCACAGATACTTCCCCGTCAGCAAGAGCCGGAGTACTCTTCAAGCGAAGTGAAGCAGGAAAGGGAAGGAGAAGGCGAAGAAAATGGATTAGCGCAGGTTTAATTCGGAAAATGTCGACCGCCGATCGAACACTTATTGGTGCTTATACAAAAGATATATCGTAATGCCAACAGAAGTGTGATCGGTGTGCTGTAAAGAGTTCCTATTTATGTTGACCACAGAAAAAGAAAGATAATTATATAAATACTGATCCCTTTACCATTCAGAGGGAGACTTAGCCTTTTGCTATCTGTATATAGTGAGATGAACGATAACTACTATTGTTTAAAATACAAAGGAACAAGGATCCATCTAGTTTGAGCAATTCTAAAACGGTGAGCAAGTTTTTTCACAACATGATTTCATGTAGATTTTATTTTTTCCATTTTTCCACATTTTTATGCTCATCCATCTCAATCTCAGAAGGATGGCTTCGTGTTTGCAACGTGGTTTTCGACGCCTACTCAAATTTTTCAGCGGAAACAACTCTTTAATTAAGGGATCGCCACTTACCCAAACAAGACGTGTCTCACAAAAAATGCCATGAGAGAGCTAAAAACAAACATGTCCTTTAATCAGGTTAGATTCCATTGCAGCAAACAAGAAAGACGAACTTTTCACGTTTCCACCGTAGCCAATAGCACTGGTGAAGCTGCAGTCCAGTATTTCAGCGGCGAGACGGATGTTCAGTCCGAAGCCTGTGGCTCATTTGTGAGGATGGTCGATGACAAATCGTTTTTGGCGGGAGTTTGTTCCACTTGGGGAAAAGAAACCGCCACTTACAACGTTGGTAAATGGGGACATAACCGTTATCAAGATCAATTGTACAACAATTACCCTGCTTTTACACATGCTGTGTACCACTGAGTTTTGTCGCCAAATAGGTGGTATTGCGATGATTGTAATGGCTCACAATTCCTTGGAGATTTCCGGAAAGTGTTTTTCCGCTAAAACTGTGTTGAGTTGAATAATTTCTTTCATTCGCTCCTCTTGGATCAAAGAGAAGCAACTGCTCGGTTCTTACCAAAGCTCCGCTTTGGTCCCAAGACAACATACCATTCCTAATCATATTGAGCACCGATGCACTGTTCAGTGATCAATGCGTAATTCATCAATCTATGCTAGGAAAAAATAGAGTTTCAAACCTTTGTTATTTGTCGACCTTACACATTGACAGTTTGTGGCCTTCGCACTTCGAACGAAATTTTACAGTAAGGAAAGTGCTGTGATTAAGGAAGGAAAGCAACCGCAGAAAACCGTAGTAGTAACAAATGCACGGGGAAGTACCTTTTAGCTAGAAATGTTTTTTTATAGCAATAAAGATTATTGAGTCGTGATCGGCTGAGTCAATTCTTTGAAAGTTTTAAGGGCACATTTTTGATAAAAATGGCGTTTATAGCACACGTGTAGTGAGGCATTAGTATTTTATCATTTTAACTTTCCTGGTTACTATAGTGTTGGAGCTTCTAACAAGATGATCATGAGAATCCTTTTGTTTTTCTCTACCAATCCTCTTAATAAATATTATCAGTAACTCTTACAATAGGCATATTCGTATGCCTCTCTCACTACTCGATAATTGCAATCAGCAGAGTAATAGTAGATGATTTAAAACCTCGCTCGATATCTCATTACTAATCTTCATTATTGTCTTCCGCATATTTCATATGGCGATAGTTTTGATAATTCTCTGTCCTATCGAGCAGTGTCTATATCTGTATCTAAAAAAGAAGAGTTCCTAAACAATGCCAGTGAAGTCTTATTAAATTGTAATATTCACAGGTGTGCTCTGTTAACTTAATTACTGTAAATAGAATAAGAATGACGGTAAAGTTTGTCGCTAATGAACAAAGAAGTTTATTTGTCTAATAAAAACATCTTTAACTTTACTGTTGTTTCGAAAGAACTGAAACTTTCCTAGGACACTATTTATGCAAATAAAGTTCTTGTGCAACTGTTCTTCGTGCAACTGTTTTAACGACTTTTATCTATAGTTCATAGCCAGCCTTCACTCCATATCTTACTGTCACAAAGTTTTAAAATTCCTGATTTAGAGACAAAGGTTTTGTTTCAGTGTTTTTGCAAGTTTCAGCGCTTTCTAACCTGGTGTCTTGCCTTAATTCTTTTAACAACTTGAATGTAATTTTTTTCTTAATATTCTGATCCAGTATCATCCATAGCAACGAATATTCGAAATTTAGTTCTCTTAGAAAATATACATCTAATTGCCTCCGGACGTAAAGAACACAATTACATGAACTTGTTAGAAATATTGCTAATGTTTGTAGCCTTTAGCTTTAAGGAAGCTGACAACACTTTTAACGACATAAATATTTCTTTTTTCTAAACAAACTATTTAAACATGATGAATTATTAAACAATTTATGTTAAATATATTATACGATACAATGTTTGCGTTTGACCGAGTCTTCTCGAAGTTCATCCTAGCTTTTCTTAAAGCGTATGAATTTGTTTTTGACAGGCATTTCACGTCGAGTGTATGTTTGAGTAAGCCGAGAAAAATTCAATAGTCTACAATGCAGAATAATTCCGTCTAATTCTGGTTATATGATAGAAAAATGAATATTAACCTTTCAATGGCTTGGCAGACTTCATATATTTCAGTGCTAATCTTGGTTTTCCGAGCGTTTCGCCACATAACTAGCCATGAGTGTGGAGCCGATGTTTATTCCTTTTATCAGGCGATGCTTAAAAGCCACACTTTTAAGACATTCCAGGTTCGCCCAGGTTCGCTGGATTGCAGAGAAGCTTGCCTTTCCGATAACAGATGCCAAAGTTATAATTTCGTGTTCAAGGGCATATGTGAGTTAAATAACAGAACCAAGGAGGCAAGACCAGAGGATTTTGTCGAGAACCTGGAAAGATATTATGTGAAGAAAAGTTCAAATAGAGGTATGAAAGTCACCCCAATAGCAAGAATATTATCATACATTTAATTTTTTCAGTCACTTTGAGAAAACGCTGCTCTCTCTCAAGAAAGAACTAAAGAAGGAACATCAAGGGATTAAATTATTGACATCAGAAAATCCTTATAATTAATATTTCATTTGACTTCAGTGTCTCTTGGCTCCATTCGTGAGCTTCCAGCTGTCTCATGTGAAGAGATCAAAGCCAGTGAAGGAGGACAGGTGGCCACAGGTGAATTCTGGTTGGACCCCACAGGAACTGGGAACTCTACTTTAGCCCATTGTGACATGAAGGCAAAGGGTAAGGTCTATATATGATGCTACAAGCAAGTTAAGGTCTAGTTTCGTGTATTGTTACCTTTTAGTTCTTTAATACTTCTTCAATTCTTTCGAACTTACGTTGGAAACACACCGGCGTGATGGTCAGCATAATCTGTTCTCGCCCCAAACGTTCGCTCCGTACTAGTCCACCGATATTTTTTCGCTTATCTTGAAAGTAAAAGACTGCTAACAGTTTCAAAGGATCGAAAGATCCGGGTTTGAGCCTTTGCCCCGCGAATTATTATGCTGCGGTCTTGGGCGAAACGCTTCCTTCTTTTAATGCCTCTTTCCACCAATCGGACAAGGAACATGTTTGAAAAGCAGACTCTCGAGAGCAGACTTTACGTCGTCGTAAACTGCATTTTAAGAGGTATCTGATGGCTTTGCAACTCGGTTGATCAGGAACCTAAAAATTGAAAAAGGCAAATTAATCTTGCACCATATACATATAAACCGAAACTATCATTTGTTTGTTATTTACGTTAATTTAACTAACCTTATACGTAACACCAAGGATTCTTTTAAATTGCTTATTTACTTCACTACTTTTTTTTTACCCTATATGGTTAGATGTTGATGAATGTCAAGGAGGACTTCATGGTTGTCACAGCAATGCCACGTGCAACAACACGGAAGGCTCTTACATCTGCACGTGCAAAGTTGGATTTATGGGAGACGGAAGAAACAGCTGCAAAAGTGAGTGATAATTTGGTTTGCAATCTAACAAGTGAGTAACCAGGACATGATCTGGTATAATGGTACATGAATGGGTTACGCAAATAGTGCTTAATGTCTTCATTAATTTGGCTCATGGAGTGCACTGAAAGAAATGGCTGTAGATTCCCCCGAAGTTCAAGTCCTTTTTGTTGAGTATTCACTGCACGAAGTCGAGTGCCTTATTCCTCTTTCGTACTCTCCAACTGCTGGCACCTTAAGGTAATACCACAACCTTATTGCTCTCGTTTTTATCAGCGATGCTGATAGAAACGAGGCCCTTAAAATGTACCTAGCGGAACTTATTGTCATGAGTTTAAAACAAAAGCATATTACCTATACCCATAGTCAGCGTCAAAATAAGTTGACATATGTCTGAAGAGTACTATAAATGTGTAGAAGAACACACCAGTTTTTACCACATTCTGAGTCATTAACTCCCTTCCCTATCCAATGTTGCTTGTAAAGTATGTAGCTAAAGGTTCATGGAATCATGATGAAACATTGTTTTGGGTAGATGGGGCGAATAGGTTGAATAAACAGGGACAAGAGAAGTTAAATTGAAGAAATAAGGTATTGAAAAGGTCAATGTTTCGACAACTTTTCCGCCGATCGCAGATCAACGAACGTTTGCGTTTCATCTTCAGTCTCATTGTATAAAATCAGGCTGTGATTTTCACTTCTTTGTTTAACCCATAAGGGTGAACAACAGGATCACCTCCTGTTGTATCTTTTCAATTTTACACAAATCAGACCTATCTCCAGTTGGGTTACATTCACTTAGAGAACTTGAAATAAAAATATCCTAGTGTTTCTTGATTGAATCTTTCACAAGCATGTCTGTGCATCTATATAGACACACTTGGTTGGAATCGCGACCGGTCTGCCAGTTCTTGTAAACACATCCTGGACTCTGGGGATCACAAAGGAGATGGAGAGTACTGGATCGATCCTGAGAAAACTGGGAATCCTTTCAAAGTCTATTGTGACATGACAACTGACGGTGGTGAGTGATGGAAAAAAGAGTCAGTGGTTTATGATGAAAAGAGCTCTAGCCTAGCCTTCCTATCAAAGTAAACTGTCGTTAAGTTTTTGTTGAAGATTATTGCTTCGAAGTTGCAATTTCTGATTTATGATGAGCAAAATTTGTCTCATTTTCGAAATTTCGGCGAGCAAAACGCAAGGTTTGGTTGTGTAGCCTAACAATCTACTTTTTCATATTGCCACAAAAGACGACATGGAATGAGACAAATAAAGATACTTTCTTATCTTTTAGAGATTGTTACGTGCACGAATGACCAACAAATGTCCGCTAACAAAGCATATATGAAAATAGACTCCCGAGTACGATATATGACACGCAACAAAAATGTAACAACAAGCAGTTACCCGTTTTAACTATTATTCAATCAGTTTTACATTGTCTAATTTACATAGGTTAAATATTAAGTTAAGTAGTACATAAAGCAGGCTTACAATCCTTCATGCCGTGTAAGTGTTCGTCGTCTTGATCAACCTCCAATTCCAACATCCGCCGACTGAAGACCACAGCGCTTGGCTTTCTTGATTTATCGCATTCTTTCCTTGTACACAAACTCTTCCGGAGGACTCCATAATAAACTCTGTATTCTCTATCTTGTTTCTCTCTCGACTATCGTCTTTTTCATCTCTTTCTTCTCTTCGGATATCGCAAGGTCTAAAGGTCATAGCCTCGTCATATCATAGCTTCCAAAAGTTCAGTCAGCAAGCCACGAGGGTAAGCCCTCGGGCAAATTCTCTTTTGTACTTCTCACAAGCCAGCTTTTATACATTTACTTTAGTTATCTAGAACGTTCTATTTCTATTTATAGCGTATTACAAGTCGTACTATTTTTGGAAACTGTTAAGACACATAAAAGAAGTTTCTGGAATATTACAGATTATAGATAATTCTAGAAAAGTCTGGGATTGCGTGACAGATTCAGTAAAAATAATTCGATCCTCGTAACAAGATGCATCCCAAGTTCTCATCTTTTGCAGCTTAGCTTTCTGTCTTTCTATCGTTTACCAAGCGACTACTATTCCATTCATAATTTCAGGAGGTTGGCTTCTTGTCTGCAATATAGTCTTCGACGGCTTCTTCAATATTTTTGCGACGCCATCGTACAGCGAAATTCGGCACTATGAAGATCACAACAAGATGTGTCTTACGAAAAACGCCATGAAAAAATTGCACACTCTCTTGTCCTTTACTCAATTGAGGTTCCACTGCAAAAAGGAAACCCCTGGACGAACGTTTCACGTAGTCACGGCTGCTAACAACAGTGGCGAGCCTGTGATTCAGTTCTTTAGCGGATTTACGGGTGAGATGCCCAAAGCCTGTGGCTCGTTCGTAAGAATGGATGACGACGACTCGCTACTAGCTGAAAAGTGCGCTTTTTGGGGGGAAGAGGAAGGGAAGTATGAGGTTGGCAAATGGGGACATAGTAATATCAAAGGAAGTTTGTATAATCACGCCGCTTTTATGAAGGGCCGTTATCACTGGTTGGTGAGTCCAGTTGGCCAGAGATGGGAATGTGACGATACCCTTGGTAACGTCGCCATTGGTGATTTTTGGAAAATATTTGTTCGTTAGAAACTGAGCAGCTGATAGTTTCAAACTGATTAGTCGTAATCAATATTTACAGAGTAACTCTTAAACTCTTTACAGAGTAAATCTATGCTTCGAAAGACTACTCTGGAATTCTTTCAATTTTCACCAGGTCACTTACATTTTACAGACTTCAATTATTTTTCTGTTGATTGGTTTTTCGGTTTCTTATTGTTTTCCGCGGTTGTGATCAGCCTTACGACTTTTTCGGTTTAGTCTTACGTCAATCGATCACAAAGACCTTCGCAGGATTTCTAGAATACCGTCAGCTCAAGAACTGAGAAAAAAAAATGGTTCTCACTCGGCTAACTTCAGTGCTTTAGTAGTGACCTATTTTAACAGTTTTGTTGCAGCAGCTAGGATATCCAGGACTTCTCATCAATATTTCAAGTTAAAGCCTTACGCAAAATTATGAATAGTTACTATAAGTAGCAGACCCTACCCCGAAGTATAGTTGTGATAAAATGCCCACGTGCCCTCTTCATGCAGTAATGGATCAGGAAGTAGATTACACGTTCACAATACTTCTTCAGTCAATATCATATCGAGGCAGTTTGAACACATTGTAAGACAGGTGATTTTATAAATTAAAACTTATGGTTGTGATCTTGGCACGATGTTGAAAGAATTGATTCACAGTGATAAAAAACTCATTGGTAGGTATAAAGCAGATGGGAAAAAAATATAGTTAAAGGCAACTCTTTCGAAAAAAATGAATTTTAATTGCATAGCCAAGTAATGCGTATTTAGACACTCATGAACCCCTTTGGTAAAATTCATTAAATTTTTTGGCATCTTGTTAACGTCGTAATTCAAATATTATTTTACTCAATTAATTTTTTTATCGCTGCTTACCATTTGTTCAGTTATCATGTACCGTGAAGCAAACTGACAGAGCTAGAACAAAAAGATAAAAAGAAACCAAACATCAAGTAGTTATTGCTTACAATAAAACTTGTACATCCCGCGTTAAAAGTAAACTGCCTTTGCTGTCGGACATAGGGCACAGTTTTTCCCAATACGGAATGACCTGGGCTAGTAAATAACATTTTAATTTTTTTTCCTATCACAACGAAATGCTTGCCAAACGAAACCCAAATGATTTAGGGCTATGATCACTAGTTTAATTACGGGTCGTGTTGTTAGGCCCTGTTTACAAGCAGGTAGGGTAACCCTAGTGCTAGGGTTACCCTGGCAAGAGGGTTACCCTAACGCTCCCACATTTCTTCTTTTTTTCATCGACGTGTTTACAAGGCAGCTAGGGTTACCCTACCACTAGGGTGACCCTAGCTGAGCGCTAGGGTTACCTTAGCGCTAGGGTAACCCTAGCTGCCTTGTAAACGCTCTGCTGGGGAGAACTCGCCTACTCGGGACAACTTTTTACTTGTTTCCAGACCCTTTGAACATTGATAACAATGCATGCGGTTACCAAGCATAGGTAAGTTGTCCCGGGTGGTAGGGTAACCCTACCTGTGAAATTTTGCTTGTAAACCCGGGCTATCTTTGACCCGCCTGCTAGGGTAACCCTAGCACAAGGGTTACCCTCCTTGCTTGTAAACAGGGCCTTAGCCATCAAAAGAGTCATTTGAACGGTTTTTAAACTAAAGATCTGCTGTACGTTCTACATGAAAACGCTCATGAGCAAAAATGAAAGAACGTTTATAATTGATATAGGGATTAATTTTCTTCATTTTCTCTTGTAACTGTAGCCGTGATATTTAGCGTTCATGTTTATTTCGAGCAAAGTAATAAATGCAGCATAAATTATTGAAGGGCTTAAAAGTCTCTATTAAATCAGCTTTGAAATCAAGAAAGATGAATTGCGACGACCACAAAAGGATGAAGATGTTATTTGTCGTGTTTCGGACGCTAAGTTTGTAATTTTGTGTTTTGGGAGGTAGGTAGCTTTGTTATTTACATAATACCTTTCGATGTTTTGTTGTTTTTAGCCTTTTTGGATCAGCTCAGAATCTAAATTCTAAAATTAAATTCAGCTACTTGATCGTGGAAAAAAAAAGGAAACTGGCCAACGTTTAAACACCAAAGCTAATACGGTAACAAGCACGTTTGTGTAAAATTTTGTATCTATCAAAAATCTAGCATACCATAAACACAACGACTTTGACGTATTTCTGTTCTTCTTTTACATTGAACTGGCTGAACATTGAAAGGCATAATTTTGTTCTCTTTGTTGTGCTTGAAAAATTGCATCGTCAGATCAAAATGACAGAGGTTGAAAACAGGGATATAGATTCAAACGCCGCCAAACGTTTCATGGGCATTAAGCAGAAGTCTCAGTTCTTTAAAATAGTTTAGGTCTTCGTTTAATTTGTTTTCTCCAAAAAGGGCCCAATTGGCCAAATTTTTGGATTGCAATTAAATCATCCCAATATTATGTGCATAGAAAGCTATACAACATGAAATTGTTAAACCCGGATGAACTAAATGATTAACGAAAAAGCAAATGAATAAATGAGCAAATACGTAAATGGACTTTTTGTTTAAATGTTTTTCACAAAAATCACATGCTGTCTGTTGATTTACATGTATCCTCAATTTTCTTCAAATCTCCTCTCAGCAGTCAGAGAGGGAGGCCTGCATGCCACGAAATCATTGTAAATATCAATTTCTTGTTAAGGTCTTGTATGATTGACACCTCATTATATGGTCACACCATATACTTCAATGATCGCTCGTTGAATGCGAGTTAAACTTTAGAAAAGAAATATTTGCAAAGCCTTACTTTTTCTGGGCACTTTCATTTCAACATCAGTCTTTTTTTTTCCACTGTTTAGATTTGATCTTTGTTCTTCTTTTTCTTTTTGTTTTGATTTTATCGGATTGTTTGTTTTCTCTAGTTCTCTAGGCTTGAGGGTAAACAAGACCACCAATGGATCGCACTCATTTTCATTTCATTTTGGTGTTTTGCTGGACGTCTCTCATGATCTGTGGGATTACCAGCCAGCAGTGTGGAGACGACACTTACTCCATCTATCAAATGATGCTTAAAGGTCACACCTTTAAGAGTTTGAAAGTTCGACCAGGCTCGTCAGATTGTAGACAAGCCTGCTTCAAAGACATCCGCTGTCACAGCTATAACGTGATCATATCCAAAAGCATTTGTGAGCTGAATAACAGAACTAAGGAGGCCAAACCAGAAGACTTCATTAAAGACAAGGACAGATATTATATGCAGAAAGGTTCAGAAAGAGGTGAATCAATAAATAATGAAAACTGTTTTGGCTTAACAGCAATCAACGCGACCAATAAAAAATATTTATGTTATTAAATTCGATTCTAGTTCCTCTCGGGTTTATTCCGGAGCTTCCTGCTGATTCGTGTAAAGAGATAAAGGGGAGTGAAGGAAGACAAGTAGCCAGCGATAATTACTGGTTGAGATCTGGAAAACCCGTAATTGCTCGTTGCAACATGACTACAGAAGGTAAAAGGAAATACTATTTTCGTACATAAGCCTGTCAAAAAAAGACCGAAACTATTTCCACTAATTCAATTCTCTTCTTTTTCAAATTTTACCTTCAGTTGCCGACTTTTGCATTAAACATTGTTGTAAAAACAATCCAACGTGTGTGAACCGTAAATTGAACTACATCTGTGGTTGCAATACATTACGGTGGTCCGGACGCTATTGTTAAAAAAAGTAAGAGACAATGGTGATGAATTTTAAAAACGTTAATCATGATTCCCACCGCACCTATTAATGATATGAAAACTGTGGCAAATAACCAGCCCTGCAATTTTATTTCATGCTGCCGTCATTCATAATCGTTTCGGCCACTAAGCTGAAAGGAGAAACGAACGCAAACAAACATGTCACATGACGAAAGAAATCAAAAATGATTCTATCCTTGCAATAAAATTAAAACCATATTATTTTAAATATTTTTTCAAGGCGAGAAAGGCTAGTTTACAGAAAGGTAATAGAATAGCCATAAGGTCCGCAAGAGGTCTATGGATAAAGGTTCTCCGATCGCAACTTAAGAAAGCCAGAATTGTTAAGGATAATTTTCAATCTTGCATTCATAAGTTCATAGTTTGTTACTGAGTCAAGCAGTTAGAAGCAGTCTGGTTTAAGTATCTTTGAGGTATTTTCGTTCTTCGCTTTCCTCCTTCTTTTCTTTTTTTTTTTTTTTGTTCTTTTGATTTTATGTTAAATCCTGTGGTTTACCCGTAGTCTAGCTTGTAACCAGTTAACCTCGACCCCTCCAGCTCATACCCGACTGTTATAGCTCACCATGAAAAACCTTGACCAATGTTCCTCCTGTCTTGAACTATAACTGCTCTTCTAATTAGTCATGTCTCCTTTTTTGTAGATTTATCGTCAGGCTGGTCCCCCAGTCGGCCTGGTTATTCTTGTTAGTACATCTTGGAATTCGGAAACCGCAAAGGAAACCGACAATACTGGATCGACCCTAAGAAGAACGGAAATCCTATAAAATTATTCTGTGACATGACAACTGATGGAGGTAGGTTGCCTCAGCTGAAAAGATGGATCATTTCGAAGTGACGTGAGATATGCAGTAGCCTGATAGTCAGTGTGTAGTCTCGCTGTGTCTCGGCACATTCTGTTGTCGCCCCAAATGTTTGCTCTAAACTTGCCTAAGGATAGTTTTTGCTCTTTATCTTGAAAACGAAAGACTGCTAGTAGTTTCTACGGATCGAAAGATCCGGGCTTGAGCCATTGATACGCGAATTATTACTGCTGTGGACTTGGGCGAAATATTTCCCTCTCTTAATGCCTCTTTTCACCAATCGGGCAAGGAACAAGTTTGAGTAGCAGACTCTCGAGAGCAGACTTTACGTCGTTGTAAATTGTATTTTGAGAGTATCTGATGACTTTGATACTCGGTTGATAAGGAATCAGAAAAAACGAAAAAGCAAATCTTGCACCATACAAATCTAAACCAAAACTATCCTTTGTTTGTTATTTTACGTTAATTCAACTTCCCTTATACGTAGCACCAAGGGTTCCTTCAAATTGCTTTTTACTTCATTAATTTTTTACCTTATATGGTTAGATGTTGATGAATGTCAAGGAGGTCTTCATGGTTGTCATAGCAATGCCACGTGCAACAACACGGAAGGCTCTTACATCTGCACGTGCAAAGCTGGATTTATGGGAGACGGATGAAACAGCTGCAAAAGTGAGTGATAGTTTGGTTTGCATTCTGACAAGTGAGTAACCACGATATGATCTGGCGTAATGATACATGAATGGGCCACGCAAATAGTGTTTAATTTTTTCATTAATTTAGCTTATGGAGTGCATTCTAAGAAGTGGCTGTAGATTCCCCCCGAAGTTCAAGTCCTTTCTGTTGAGTATTCACTGCACGAAGTCGAGTGCCTTATTCCTCTTTCTTACTCTCCAATTGCTGGCACCTTAAGGTGATACCACAACCTTTTTGCTCTCGTTTCTATCGGCGACGCTATCACCTATGCCCACAGTCAGCGTCAAATTAGTCGACGCATCATGTCTGAAGAGTTTTATAAATACGTAGAAGGACATTTCTACATTACCACATTACAAATCCTTGTTGCCCTCCCCCAATCAATGTTGTATATACAGTATGTGGCTAAAGGTTCATGGAATCACGATGCAACATTGTTTTGGGGAGATAGGGCGGATAGGTTGACTAAACCAGGGCGGAAGGGGGGGGGAGGTAAAACTGAAGTAATAAGAGGTTGTAAGAGTCAATAGGTCATCAACATCGTCGCCGATTGTAAATGTATGGACGTTTGTGTTTCACCCCTAGTCTTATAATATAGATTGAATTAGGCTGTGATTTTCACTTTTTTTTAACCGCAGCGAACAACAAGATCATCTCATATTCCAACTTTTCCAATCGTACACAGATCAGACCTAACACCAATGGGTTCGATTCAGATATAGACTGAACGTAGAACAAAAATATTATAAAGTGTTTCTCTGCATCTGTATAGACACACTTGGTTGGGATCGCAACCGACCTGCCAATTCTTGTAAACACATCCTAGAATCTGGGGATCACAGGGGAAATGGGGGGTACTGGATCGATCCTGAAAAGAGTGGGAATCCTTTTAAAGTCTATTGTGACATGACAACTGACGGAAGTGAGTGATGGAAAATAGAGTCAGCGGTTTATGTTGAAAAGAACTCTAGCCTACCTATCAAAGTTAACTGCTATTTTGAAGACCACTGCTTCAAAATTAGAAATTCTAATTTGTATTGAGCAAAACTGGTTTGATTTCATTTTAGAAATTTCCACAATAAAAAGCTGAATTAAGTTGTGTAGCCAAACAACCTATCGTCTCGTATTGCTATACAGGACTACATGGAATGAGAAGTTATGTAGAAAAAAACAATAACAAACAAGTAAAGATCCTTTGTTATCTTTTAAAGGTGCAACCCGAGTTCTCCTCGTGTGTTAAGCAACTGCTATTCCATTCATGATTTCAGGAGGTTGGCTTCTTGTCTGCAATTTGGTCTTCGACGGCTTCTTCAATATCTTCACGAGGCCATCATGCAGCGAAATTCGACACTATTATAATCACAACAAGAGGTGTCTTATGAAAAACGCAATGAAAAAATTGCGTACTCTCTTGTCCCTTAATCAGCTCAGGTTCCATTGCAGAAAGGTAACCCCCGAAAGAGCATTTCACGTGGTCACGGCCGCTAACAACAGTGGTGAACCTGTGATTCGGTTCTTTAGCGGATTGACGGGTGAGATGCCCAAAGCCTGTAGCACGTTCGTAAGAATGGATGATGACGACTCGCTGCTAGCTAGAGACTGCGCTCTTTGGGGGGAAGAGGAAGGCACGTTTAAGGTTGGCAAATGGGGACAAAGTTGGTTCAAAGGAAATCTTTATGAATCACGCTACTTTTATTGAGGGCCGTTATCACTGGGTGCTAAGTCCGGCTAGTTATAGATGGGAATGCGACGATTTCCTGGGTAACGTCTCCATTGGCGATTTTTGGAAAATACTTGTTCGTCAGAAACTGAGCAGCTTATTTGTAGTAATGAACCTTTACAGAACGATATCTGCCTTTTGAAGCTGCAAAGTCATTAGTGCAAGCTTTTTTATATGAAGAATCGACTACTGTAATGCAATATTATATGGTTTGCCAGCTATACACGTTTATAGGTTACAACACGTTCAAAACTTTGCCGCCAGGTTACTGACCAATACACCGCCTTATTCGCACATTACACCCGTGATGATTATTCTCCATTGGTTGCCAGTTAAATTTAGGATCGTTTTTAAGGTAAATTTGTTGAATTTTTAAAGCTCTCCATGACTTAGCGCCAGCATATCTTAGTGATATTATATCATTCAAGGGCAATTCTAATTCTAATTTAAGATCAAATTTTAGTAACTTATTAGCTCGCCCGGCAATTAGATCTGCTAAGACCACTGGGGACAAAGTTTTTTCGGTAGCTGCCCCATTTTTATGGAACTCTCTTCTGAAAGCCTAAGAGCTGTAAGTAGTGTCAATATTTTAAGAAAAAAGTGGAAACATATCTTTTTCAACAAGCATACCGTTAATTGCGTGAACATTTTTAGACTATGCATTATATAGATTTTTTTTATCGCTTTTTAATTTATTGTTAAACATAATTTTGTTTTCATTTTGTAATTTAACGATGATATTCCCTGCGGTTTCTTTTAGATATTCTTTAAATTATTGCAAAGCGCATTAGATCATATACTTATAATACATTTTGCGCAATATAAGTATTAAATTTATCATTTATCATTCTTAGCTGCGCGTTGAAAGAAAATGCTGTCCTGTAACTTTTATAATTTTCATCAGGCCACCTACTATTTTTTTACTCTAAGTATAAAAGCGTTCTTTAGCTTTGATTTTCTGGCTTGTGGTTTTTGGTTTTTAAGTGTTTTTCGAGGTTGCGATAGGCCTTAAGACATTTTGCTTTTAAATTAGTCTTACGTCACTTGGACGATAAATGTAATCCTGGCTTTTGCTTTTTATTAAAAAAAAAAGTTCAATTCCATATACTTGATTCCATCGTAGCAAAGGGAAGCTTTTATGGATTAAACTTTAAAATCAGTGGTTACATTCTTAGCGCGCTCTTCTCTCGGTGTTCATGCTTGATGGTGGGTAATGTTAACATCTTCAAAGTTACCATATTTCGATAAAATTTTCTCATTCGGCTAACTTTGCTGCAATGGCAGAGACATTTTTTCAGTTTTGCTGTAACAGCTAGGATATCTAGAACTTCTGATCACTACCAGAAAATCTGAATATTGACTTGCAGTGCAGAGCCTTTCTCGTAGTTTACTTGTGATGAAATGCCTACGTGGCCTCTTTATTTAGTAATGGATCAAGAAGCTAGCGACACGTTGAAAAAACTCCCTCAGTGACCATCACATCGTGGCAGTTTGAGCGCATTGTGATACAGGTGATTTTTTAATGCTAAAACTTATTGTTGGGACTCCCGTACAATGTTCAAATAATTGATTGACAGTGATAAACAACTTATTGGTAGAAATAAAGCAGATGGGAAAAAAATAGTTGAAGGTGTCTATTCCGAAAAAAAAAAAGAATTTTAATTGCAAGTGATATATTTCAGCGCTCATGAACCCGTTGGTAAATTCCATCAACTTTTTCGCATCTTATTAACGTCCAAAATCAAAT